CTCTACTACCGCCCCCACTACAACCACCACCTCGTCGACCTACGCAATCAAACACCGTATAGCAGCCCATGACTCCTCCGTTACCTCACTCCAGTTCGACGAACATCTCCTCGTGACTGGCGGTAATGATGGTCGTGTGCGACTGTTTGAGACCAAGACGGGCAGATATATTCGTGAGTTGAGCGAGCCTTGTGAGAGTGTTTGGAAGGTGGCGTATCGGAAGGATGTTTGTGCGATTATGTGTAAGAGGGCTGGCAAGACTGTCATGGAGATTTGGAGTTTTAGGCCGAGAGAGGAGACATCTGCACATGTGGTGAAGTGAAGTTGGCGACGTTATTTTATGATGTAAGGTGAAACAATTGTTGTTGTTTCTAGGACTCGTTTTGTATGGCGCGGGAATTCAATTTATCGTCGGAACAATGTTGGGAGACAGTCCCATGGACTGATCGACTTGCGTGGAATACCTGTTGCAGGAGAAATTGGCTTACCCATGCATTATGAAAAAGCGATGAGATAATAAGTAAACAATTGCCTTGGAAGTACTGATGAAACAAGCAAAGAAGGCAAAGGGGAGTAAACTAGGGCAATGTCCTTCGAATTACTTTTTCTTGGTGGCCTTGGTGGACTGGGTAACTGACCGCAGAGGTGTGAAGAGTGACCCAAGAGGGTTGAATTGAAGGACGTACCCTTTCCGCTGGACTTGTCAGTCTTCTCAACCGACTTGATGAGACCAACGGCAACGGTCCGCCTTAAGTCACGGACGAGAAAACGACCAAGGGCAGGATACTCGTTGTAGGACTCAACGCACATCGGCTTGCTGGGAACAAGCTTGACGATGCACGCATCACCAGACTTGATGAACTTGGGTGATGCCTCGAGGGACTTGCCGGTTCGACGATCCAGCTTCTCGATGAGCTCGGTGAACTTGCAGGCAACGTGGACAGTGTGGCAATCGAGGACGGGTGTGTAACCAACGCCAATCTGACCGGGGTGGTTCATGACTATAACCTGAGCGATGAAGGAAGCGGCCTCCTTCGCGGGGTCGTTCTTAGCGTCGGATGCGACGAAACCACGACGAATATCCTTCACCGAAACATTCCTTCGCAAACATCAGATGGTGAAAATAGAAACAAGAAAGGAAGAAACTCACTTGACATTGAATCCGACATTGTCACCAGGAAGACCCTGCTCGAGCGGCTCGTGATGCATTTCGACAGCCTTGACTTCAGTGGTCACGTTGCCGGGAGCGAATGTGACGATCATGCCAGCCTTGATGATACCGGTCTCGGCACGACCGACAGGCACAGTACCAATACCACCAATCTTGTACACATCCTGGAGGGGGAGACGGAGAGGCTTATCGGAGGGACGGACGGGGGGCTCGATGGCGTCAATGGCATCGAGGAGGGTCTTACCCTTGACGACACCGGCTTTGGTCTCCTTAGTCCAGCCCTGGTACCAGGACATGCTGTAAAATGGTTAGGAATTGACTGCATGAATCGGAAGTGATCCGTGACGTACTTGGCTGACTCCTCCACCATATTGTCGCCGTGCCATCCAGAGATGGGAACGAAAGCGACAGCCTTGGGGTTATAACCGATCTTCTTAATGAAGGTGGAGGTTTCCTTGATGATTTCGTTGAAACGATCCTCGCTCCACTGCAAGACATGTCAATAAAAGAGTGTCAAGTAGCTGAAAACCGATGTGAAAACTATCAAGGACCTTGGTTGTGTCCATCTTGTTGATGGCAACGATAAGCTGACGGACACCGAGGGTGAAGGCGATGAGAGCATGCTCGCGGGTCTGACCATCCTTGGAGAAGCCGTCCTCGAACTCGCCAGTACAAGCGGAGACAACAAGGATAGCACAATCAGCCTGGGAAGTACCAGTGATCATATTCTTAATGAAATCACGATGTCCGGGTGCATCAATGACCTGTACCGCATCACAAGGATTTAATCACTGATCAAGTCGACGTCCGATCTCCGAAACGATACTTACAGTGACCATGAACTTGGGAGTCTCGAACTTCCAGAGGGCGATATCGATGGTGAGACCACGTTCGCGCTCAGCCTTTAGCTTGTCAAGTACCCAAGCTATTTCACCGCAGGTGATCAGCATCTCGTCAGAAGAAAAGCAATCCCTCAGGTGCTACTCACCATACTTAAATGAACCCTTGCCAAGCTCAGCAGCTTCCTTCTCGAACTTCTCAATGGTACGCTTATCGATACCACCACACTTGTAGATCAAATGTCCAGCGGTGGTGGACTTGCCAGAATCGACGTGGCCAATGACTAGTCAGAGGCAAAATGGGTTCAATACTAATTTGAAGGACATGCCACTCACCGACAACGCTAATATGGGTCTTCTCCCCTTCCCCTGTGATTGGTTCATCGTGACCAGTTCGTGCCCCCTTGAGCCCCGGCACATCGTGAGGTTTGACCACAAAATCCTCTGCTACTTCAGAGGGGATACTCTTTACTACCGTATCATCAGAGGGGTACTTCGATGGTTGTCCGTCGGGAGTACTGAGGGCAAGCGTGGAACCCGAATCGGCAGGTCCTGCGCTGTGTGGGGTCCGGTGTGATAAGATGTTACTCGCGAAGATTTGATGGCTAGTTGGAGACCTACCAGGACGACGACTCCCGCGGGTTCATCCACGGCATCCTGTTTGAATAGAAGGGTGAAAACTTGAGTATTGAACCAGAATGGACACAGCGATCCGTACTTCACATGGATTGTCACTCCTCACTGCCTCAACAAGAGTGTTCTCAGCTACCCGATCTGCAGAAGATTGCAATGCGTTGGGATTCACCACGTCCCGCGTGGCTTCCGAAGGAGTCTCTTCTCCTCTATCCCGGGTCTAGCGTGGTAAGGCATAAGTCCTTTATGGGCAGCTTCCATGGTCCAGTGGGAGGACCTACTGGGACGATGTCTTTCTCTCCTACTTCAATGGGGGACTTCTCTGCTGGTTGACCGGTCGGCCCTGACGGTGGGTTAGGAGCATCAGGAATAGATATCTCTGTTGACCGGCCAGTAGCGACTGGCTGTGCGTGTCCAGCATCAGAAATATGTCTGTTGGCTTCGTTCAGCGAAGCTCCCGAGGTAGGGTTTGATACATCGGTCCGGATCTAATGTGATAAGGCATCAGTCTTGCAAGTGAAGATTGGATGGAAAATTGGGGGCTTACCCGGTTCGAAGTTTGGGGCAAAGTTGTCCCAACGGTCCCAACGGGCTCCTCTTCGGGGCAGCAGCAGCAGCAATAGCAGCAATACCTACGGCAAAAAGAAGCGACGCATCCCATGACTGGATAGATTCGGAGGGCGATTGTTGAGGTGAAGTGCGAGATCGATCTCTCTAATAACCATGAACGATCTCGCAACGCGTTGCGGCCACACCCAATCCTGCAGGACATTAATCAACCATCTGTATCAATGCATCGCGAGGTTCTCGCCGCATCGTAGCGCGGGGTTCTTGATACCCTGAGGGTGAGCCTGTGAGGTCAGGACGTCTATTGCTGCTACTCAGCACCAAGCCTCGAGGAGAATTCCCGAGCATCTGGCGATGGGAAAGAGTATAAAGATAGGGCGTTAGTTGATGATTCGATTCAGATTAGTTCATATCCGGGGATGAACCAACGTGAACTTACCAAAGGCGATGGAAAACGTCCGTGTTCGAACGTTGCGACGAGTTCGCGGCAGCCTGACGTGCAAACGAAGGGACGGAACACAGCAGTTTTCACAAGGACTCGCAAAATACATGCTGCCCCCCACCCCAAAGAGATAAGACGTTTCTCACTGCATTCTTGCTCGTCGTTGACTTCTCCCGTTTAAGAGGTGCAGATCAAGTCCAATAAACGTACATAGAGTTCACGCGATGAGCAGAAGCCCTTCCACGTGGCGGGCTTCCCGTCATTTGTTCCACTTACACGGGCTGTCCGACAGGGAGCCTCATGCTTCAGAATTAGTACTCTGCAGTACGTCTCTGTCTCGTCGTGAGCCTCAACCGGCGGGTTCACGCCGTTGCGTTCCCCTCTTCGCATCTGTTTAATTTTTGCATGTGTGGTTTACTTGCCATGTACTGGGTGGGATAATCAATGCTCGGAGATGTTTCAGCCCAATGATTCATTTGATACTACCACGCATCGGATGTTCACGGGTGAGCTATACCAGAGAATGTAAGTCTGTTCGTCTTTCTTGTCGTAGCTTCCATACCTCATGGTTTGTTGGTTCTGACATTATCAAGACGGGATCGGAGGATACCGAGGTAAATCTCCCGAGGAAGAGTAGAACGGAGCGGAGAACGTACGATCTCTGCGACGGCCACAAACCACCGATGACCTCCAACCATACTTACGTGTTTCTCTCGACAAGCCGAGGAACATCTATGGAAGTGAGAAAGGTGGAGAATGCGGGCGTTAGCAGAGACTATCCCTTGTCTTTTGGGACGACGGAGGATATGTTCCAGTTGGAATCGTATCGGAGGTCAAGGCCCATCAGATGCAGTCACCAGGACGAAATTGTCAGGATCAGCGAGTGAAAAATGTCTCGGACCACAAGCAAGCCCGAGACGAAATGACGCAAACAGTCAAAGGCCCAGGACTCTGGAGGGAGCTGAGCCTGCGGGCACTTATGGGTCAAGGAACAGGATGGCCAGATGGGTGCTTTTTGTCGATCTAATGGATAGCGGTAATATGGATGCGATTTTCAAAATAAAATGGAACAAAATGTCACTCACATGCCATCCACAACCTCTACCTCCAAGCGGCTTCGCCGAATGGCCTACACCTGTCCGATGTCTAGTTTCCGTTGTCCGGGGTGAAACTCGTCGTGATTGTGTAGCCGAGTGAGCAAATAGTTGGTACGGTATGTCGGAGTTGACATTGCATTAAGGGGTTGGAGTATTGTGGGGACCGAAGTGGGAGGAGGGCAAGGAGTCTGGTTATGGTTCTGTATCGGCAAATCATTTTTCATACTTCATCATAGGGCTGTAGTATCCACGGCCTGCTAGCTCAGTTGGTTAGAGCGTCGTGCTAATATGGCAGTGAGCATTCACTCCTGATTACGCGAAGGTCCTGGGTTCGACCCCCATGTGGGCCATTTATTACTTTTTGAACTCCACTACGTGGTATTTCATCCATGCAGCTTCGGCTTAAGTCAAATGTCCTCGATTCGACCGTTCTCATTCTGCTGTTCACCAGAGCATCGAGGTTGGCTACACACATGCATGAACCCACAAGTCACCTTCCATAGCTAGGTTTCCCTTTTGCGTGGCTTGTCATATAATTTGCCAAAGTTCGAACCCTTCACCTCGCGTCACTGAAACGGAGAACAGGAAACCGAGCTGAAGTATAATCAAAATGGACACAAGAAAGCACCCTCATGTATAGCTCCCCATTCAAAAACTGTAACCCCCCGGGTATCCTCGACTACTGCTACTACTGCTATGCGAATGGAACCCTCCCCCTCCAAACCCTCCACCTCCACCAAACCCGCCCTCACCAAATCCTCCTCCATATCCAGGAGGAGCCCCACCAAACGAGCCAAACCCACCCCCACTGTGGAATTGCGCGAACAATTCCGATATATCTACACCTCCCATACCGCCCATACCGGATGAATCCATCATACCGTCTTCATCTTCGCCCATGTCGTATCGTTCCCGTCGGCGTGCGTCTGAGAGGACGGAGTTGGCTTCGACTACCAGTTTGAATTTCTCTTCGTCTCCACCCTATAAGCGTGGTCAGGTTAACTTCAAGGAGGGGAGAGGAAGAAAGAACGCGTACCTTGTCTGGATGATGAATCAAACTTTCCCTCCGATAAGCCTTCTTAATTTCAATCTCCGTCGCCTCCCTCGAAACCCCAAGGATCTTATAATAATCCTTCGTCTTACTCCTCTTCAACGCCGCCTCGGCCTTCTTCAACTCGTCCCTCAAGCTCCGAACATCACTATCACTGCCTTCCATGACAGCTTGTTCGATGGAAGACTTGAAATCAGCTACTGCTGCGTCGTAAGATTCGAGGTGGAGGTTGATGCGAGCTCGGGTGCGAAGTGCTTTGTAGGATGTCGGGAGAAGGAGGAGAGAGGTTTCGATCGAGGCGAGAGCGTCTTGATGTCGGTCGAGCTACAGTTTGGGTTATTAATATCGGGCCGATGAAAATGGGACGGGTGGGTATACCTTGAGCAGAGTAGTCGCCTTGTTCGAGAGGAGGGTGGCCCGAATCTGACCTCCCTTACCCTCTTCCTCGTTTTCTCCAATCCGCTGGACGAGGTTGCGTCACTATCATCCTTACACTAACGTTCGACAATCCATACGTACCTCCAGTGCGTCGCCATACCTATCGACGGCTTCCTGCCATTTACCGATTTTGAATGCAGTGTTACCCTCTTCCTTCAATCTCTCGACGTCTTTTACTCTCTTACGGAGCTTTTGTGCAGGCACGTGTCCTGGGTCGAGACGAAGGGCGGATTGCAGATGCTGGAGTGATTGAGCGAGTTTTGCTGTTAGAAAGAGGACGAGGCCGCGTAATGTGAGGACGTCTGGCGAATTCGGAGCAAGACGCATGGCATCACTGAATGAGCAAAGCAAGCCACGATTAGATTCAGTCACGCGACCAACGATGAGATCACCTACTTGGCAGCAATAGTCGCAGAGTCCCAGCTCCCCCTCGCAAGTTCCAACTCACACCTCCATAACCTCCACTCAACCGGAATCTCCCCACCCTCTCCCTCAATACCCTGCAAACACTTATCCAAAGCCAACCTAGCCAAACCCCACTCCTTTCTCTTCCTCGCTCCGTCAAAGTTCCTCAAATGAGCCTCCAATTCCATAACTTTCTCCTGGAGTTGGATCGCTGCCGTATTATTTGCTTCTAGCGCCAGGACGGAACGGATGGTAGACAACGCTGGTGATGGCGAGCCGAGCGCTAAATGACATCGAGCCAGGCGGATTAGGGTCTTGGCTGAGGGTTGGGATGATTGTAGGGATGCTGCGGATTGACAATCCGAGAGAGCGAGTTTGAAACGTTTGAGAGCCATATAGGCTGCAGCGCGGTTGGTGAGATAGGCTGGCTCTGAGGAATTTAAATCTACACCCAAGATCTGTCAGCATTCGTGAGGGTCGGTAGGACAATACGACTTACCAATGGCTTTGGTGTACAAGTCGATAGCATCTCCATAACGTTTAGCCTTGAATGCGACATTGCCCTGCTCCTTCGTCTTCTCGGCGGCTACGATTGGATCTTCATCCACAACAGGCTCAGGTGCAGGTGCCTTGCCATTGGTATACGGCGGAGGCGGAGAACTCTCCTGGGGACTAACAGGCGAGTCTGCGTCCTTCATGGGGGAATCGACAATGATAGGCTCTGCAAGCTTTCTGCAAAATCGATACCGTTACCAATTAGTGGGGCACGTGTAATGCAGAGAAGCAGTGTCGGATTTGGGATTGGACTTGGACTTTGGTTGGACTTACTGTGCAGCTGGAGTTGATGGTTTCTCAGCTTGAGATTGCGGAGACTGCTTCTTTTTCCCTTGCTTGGATTTCTTGTTGGCCATTGTCGGCAGCGTTTGGCGTGTGCGTGATCAAACGAGGGAAAAAATGCGGATAAGGGGAATGGTTGGGTGGCGGTTGCTGATTGCTTCAAATAAAATAGTTCTCACACTCAGTAAATTGTTACCACAGTCTTCGCCGTTTCCAAGTCCGCTGATCTGACTGAAAGCATGCGACTGTTCACTTACCACTTAGACCCCGACGACGTCGACACCACACCCCACCTGAATCTCATCGAACTCGATACCAATACCATTCTCAATCTTATTAATCTGCACCAAAATGCTCGCAGTTTGTGAGTTGCATCAGTCAGGCTCCTCCAAATTTAGAATATAGCCTTTCAGCGGATACTGATCTCATTCTGACACTGCACAAGGGACCGCCACAAAAAGGTCTAAACACAGCCTACCGTGCTTCACTCTGATCTGAGGCCGCGCACATAGAGGCATACGTACCTCGTGCGTGCCGAATAACATCGCGTCGCGCCGTCTGGTTGCCCTTGGATAACCTCGCCGGTAAGGGCTTACCTTACTCCCACCTCCCTTTACATATTTACATCGCTGTCCAGAAGGGTCCGTAGAAGTTTCCTCCTTTACCACATACGCTTTCTCCCTGGATTCATCTGGAACGGAATCCTGAAAGATGTTAAACCAGCGACCCTCTCTAGACCTGCTTACGCGCAGTCGTCGGGAGTGACGCCATTGGATTACACTGTAAGTTGTCCGCGGGGATCCTGAATAGCTAAGCGCTGATGTATATATTCCACCCCGTGTGGTCTGCCGTCATCCCTGAAGGCTGGACACATTCTTGATCAGCCTCCCTATACGTACGGCGAATGATTTGGGGATTATGAGCGTTTTGGTGTGGTCTGGGCGTCCGCTCCAATCCATTGCTGTCAACCTTTCTCAAGCCCGCTAGCCAATTTGGATATTTCAGTGCGTCCCTGCTCCAGATACGCAGTCACGATACGTTCTCTGACCCCCTTTTCGCAACAGAGTGTTCGAGCCGCCCCTGAGCCACCCCACCGCACGTTTGCATCACCGATCTTATTTCGCATGCCTGCTGTGTATTCCGATTACACAGCCGCTATCCATTCCGCCTCAGATTTGATGCCCTGAGTGACAATCGCTTCGTTAGCCTATCATATGTGACGGGAAATATCTGTGACTGCAGGGCTGCAGCGCTCGTCGACTTTTCGCCGCCCTCTCCACCGAGTTCTCTCCACCTGTAGTCGAGGGCAAGAACAATGAACCGATCGCGTACTTATCCGTAGAAAACACCGTACGGTTGCGCGCGGCTGTTTTCTTCAGGTGCGCAATATCGTCCATTTGATGAACCGTTCGTCCCTGATGTCAGAACGGGGTAGTTTTTTTTATCAATTGCCAGGGCAATATTCAGTAGATGCGATATAAATATGACCCGAGGAGCCCCGGATTTGACTCGATAGCGGTCGTTCCTTATTCTACAATGCCCACCACGCCTACCCCAGTTTTACTCTGCCATTGGTGGGTCTAATTATAAGTATTTCAGAAGCACCGCGAACCCCTTTGGGCAAAGGTCTGTTAAGGTTGTCAACCAGATCCGCGACGCTAACCATCATTTACATTCCAGTCGTAATTTCATTTCCATCCCCCATCCTCCCTGTTTGGCATCTAATCACCGACGATGATCTCGGCCACCCCCAATACTCGAACACCCCTTTGCCTCGTGCTGGGCAGTGGAGTTGAAATCGTTAAAAGTCAGGAAGATTGAATTGCGGAGTCCGGTGATCTAACGCCACCAGGCCTCAGCGCAAACGAGGCGAAGCGCTTTCGCCACCATCGCCAATTATTCGGTACCTGTCGTAGATTTGCTCGATTCAATCTGCCACCCCGGCACCCAAAGTGGTCCAACCAAGCATTATCCGACGAAGTAGCTCACACATGCTGCAACGTGCACAATTCCTGTAAGTGCATGTCACTTCCATGCCCGACACAGCCTGTAACCCCATTTCGGCACAGCGAATTCCAACTTAAGGTTATCATCGCGGGCTATATCTTGTTCACCGGCACTTAAACGCTCGTCTCCCGGTTACTTACTTCAGCAACGCTTTTTCGACGTCCTTGATTTCACATTACTGCCGCCGAAGGGTTTCCCCGAAACGCATCGTCATCCGCGCCCAGCAAAAAAAAAAATGAATCGCCGACGAGTACGTTGGAGCTTATTCTATGGAGTTCGCGCACGGCAAACAAGTTCTGGTGCGCACGTTGTTTATCCTCTTTGGCTACTTCGGCTTTCACCCTCACCGGTATTTCACCAAACCGAGAGTATACTTTGGGTCTAATATAATATTTGGTTGCAGTGCGACAGAGTGCGACCTATTGGACTGGGAAAACAAAGGTGGCGTTCCAGAAGGGCAGAGTCTTGGCGTTGCTATATTGGGATGTTCATTGGTTGGTGCCGAACACTGCAGACACAGCCCCATAGGTTTTAGACGCTGGGACTAACCTTCTAAGGTTTGTACCAGTCAAAGTATCCTACGTACCGGTAACTCTCACACACGCTACAGAT